TAAAGAAAAATTTACTTTCCTTTCACTCTTTGGAGATCAGCTTCTTTTCTGGACCTGAATAGAGATCATTGGGGAAACAGAACCAAACAGCTCTGGTATGTGTATAACAAAAACCCACCTCTTTGTAGAACATAACAAATTATGCAGTGTTCACAGATGCGCCTCACATTGTGCCTTTTGTGAGAAAATGAAGCCCAACTCTGTTCCCCACCCCCCTCTTTATGAGAGGCTAGGCTCCCAATGCAATCTGTCCTAGTCCTAGAGAAAAAGAAGTATTCTTAATATGGAAAGTCGACATAGTCATTTTGAAAAAGCTTTTCATTTGAACTTTTGGTCTATATATGACTTCTACAAGTATGAATTTGAGGTTACAAGCAAACAATTCTATAAACAAGTAAATGGCTTGGGGTCTCAGGCAAGAGTAGAATGGTAACCTTCCCACCTGCAGCTCACCTTTGACTTAGATAGTTAGTAGAAGTGCTGTTATTACACAACTACATGTTTGAACTATATACTAGCAAAGAGATATGATCATTTCTTTTCAATTACAATACCCGCCAAAAATCTTCACATTTTGTTTCTGTTTTTCAGAATTAATAATTCAGAATTAATAATTCCTGATTATTCTTATGGGAACTAGGATGCTGATACATAGTCTGGAGTACCCAGGGAGCAACTTCTGCAGAAACGATGCCGAATGTGGCGAAGACCACCCTACCTCCTGAGACCTTTGTATATCCTGGCCAGGCTTTCTAGGGTTAAGTGCGTTGGTCTCAGTGACTGTCTCAGAATATGAATTCCTAGCATTGGAATCCTTGCATCCTCAGGGCCTAGCCTTGGTCTTTGATTAGAGTAGGTATTCCTAAGGTCCAAGGGATGAATGAATAAATGGAGAAGGAGAAGGTGGGACCTAGAAGGTAAAGAAATGTGGCTCCCAGAATCCACAGCATTTGTGGTTCCCTCCGAAGTGACCCTGGTCTTGGCATGTGACCTATTTGACTGATGATTCAAGAGTAAAGGGTGAAGCCAACAGAAACTTGAACAAATCTGGCACACAGAGGCTCTCTCCTGCTCTTGACAACCCCATGTTCTGAGCAAGCCTGGATTAGCCTAGTTGATGAGAGACAAGAGTTGAATTGCCCTGTTAGTTCTGTAGACCACCACCATGAAGTTGCTGATGGCCACCTTACTACTGAATTTGAGTGAGCCCAGCAGCCATGCTGAAGACCAGCCACCTAACTGACAGCGTCTGTAGAAGGCCAGAAGCACAGTGTTGCTTGAAAGAGCAGTGAACCACAAGTCATTTGCTAGGACCAGCTGGGGAGCTCGTACAGAAGAGAGAGGAGAGTTTAGAGT